TCTCTCTCTCTCTCTCTCTCACTCACACACACACACACACACACACACACACACACACACACATACATACAAGGGCTTTGAGCCTGGGTAAGATGTTCAGTTTGGGTTGATAAGATGATGACCAGTGAAGAAAACAAGTAACCAGGAGTAGGATGGAGTACAGCGAGATACCTGGGTCACTGATAGTTCTCGATAATTAAAATTCTGAGCAAATGTGTGTATTGCCTTAGAGTATCTATGGACAACGAGTCCCTATGCCTCTTATTTAGTTACATGATCTGTGGATGGGTGCCTTGCGTTTGAAAAGTAGTGAAAAATGGGGCCTGAACTACATACGAAACTGAAAATGGGTCGGTCCTTGGGCTCGATTTTGGGAGCCCTGAGTATGAAATGACCGGGTACCAGCAAGAAGGCCTTATTGTGATACCCAACCTTGGTCAATACCCTTGTTAGGGGCCTATGCGTGGGTGTTCACGGGGTCCAAGCAGTTCTGACCTCAAACAAATTAAAAAAGGTTATTAATGGGACTAGTATGACACGGTGTTCGATACATTTGGAGTCCCAACAGGGGCTACCCTAGACGAATAGCTCTTCCTCTAGCTCGGGGAGTTTCTAGAACTCGGTCTATTGTAGTACTTAAGGAGCACTTGAGCATAGAGGAGAGTCCTCTTCGACTGGTAGTACTAATGAGTTAGGGCACAATTGGACTACGCTCCCATCGTGTGATAACTCGTTAGGCTCCCGTACCGGTCCGTCTACGGCTACCAGGTACACTGCGGTGATGCATACTGCCCCGATCTTCATCACAACGTCCTTTTCCGTTGAGATCTCTGTGCGGCCTACTCCGTCGTTACCTAGGCTATCAATCGTGTTGTCGGCAACGCTGGAGGTTTCGTGCTCCCTGTGCCCCTTGGGAGTGACGCTCCTATGCTCGTCGAGGGTTGCAATATCGTTGGGGTCAGGAGAGGTCGGACGGAAGCACCGTGGAATCCCCGTTTGACTTCGAGGAGATGTTGGATGAGCACGTCGCAGAGATTGATCCTGCGGGGCATCATCCTGAGGTGATGTTGTCACCTACTTATGGTAAAACCCGCTAATTAACCCTATGTGCATAGCGCTGTCAGTTATGGTTCTCTAGTACTCCTGAATGAGATGATGATCATGTGCTCTTATTTATCTCCTCTGATGAGCTATGCTTGTGGCAAAGCTAGCGAAAAGCTTTAGGATGTTTGCCACCACCCTAACCATGATGAAAACATTTTGTGCAATCGCCTACCCTTAGTGTGGTAATGATGGTGATCGTCGTATACTATGAGAACCTGTGATATTAGATTAAGCTTTTCTTAGTGTCGGTATGAATAGTACACTTACCAGTGTTGTATGCCTTCGTGTTGATGTGTTCAACTTAGTTTCATTGCTGTGGGTCCCAACTGCTCTGAGTTTCTTCTCTCTGTATCAGTGTTCCTCCCGGTTTCTTGGGGGTGTGTATGATGACTGGGTTTTGTTTTTAATTTTGATTTTGATTCAAAGATTTCCTGACGATTGGCTTCTTACCCCCTTCATCTTTCTTGACTCAGGCTTTTTTTGATTCTTCCTTCTCTTTCTCCTTCGTCCCCTTCCTTCCTTCTTTCATCCTTCTCCTCTTTCTTCTTTTTTTTTCGCCATCCCTCTTCCTGGCATTTGTAGTCATCAATATCTTATTCGACGATGATCTATGGCTCTCGCTTCTCCTTCTGGATCGTGATTGTAGCAATGGTGGGTGTCGTTTGTACCTTGGTCGACTTGCCATGTCTAGACGATGTTTGTTGCAGACAAGCTGAGGGATCGTTCCCTGTCACTTTCAAGGAGATAACAAGCTGTTTGCGAAGAAGGGAAACCTCCAGATTATGAAGATCTCTCACACACTGGATAATTTGCTTTGCGGCTTGGGTGTCTGCGTGGTGATATGACGATGGTTGTAGCAACGGTCGACTTCAGTGGTTAACCTGAGTGGTGTGGCGTGTGTGGGGTGGAATGATTCTAATGGACGCTTCTTCGATGGTCGAGAGTATGGTGATAAGATGCTGGGCTTGGGTGTTTGGTCCCGCGCTTCTACCATGCTGGGAGTAGGTGCAGGCAGGCGTATCAATAGGAGCTTTATGCGGTGGTAGGATGCTTCTCCTTTCATGAGCTA